AGGTGGCTTGAAAGATTCTGAAGATGTCCAAAATGCCCCTGGCTTGTGGCACACTGCCGGCGGCGGGGTTTTCTGGTTTAGTCGCTGAGTAAACGTAAATGAAGCCTGTTTGGTCTCGACATAAAAATCCTAGTCTCCTCTGCGTTGTCTGCTGTTTAATGGATTATGACAAGTACTGGAGTCTAATGTGTAATTCAAATTGTTATGGGTACGTGGACAACAGACTTAAAGCCGAGGGGTCATTGTTAAATTTATCATAGCTTACTAATTTCGTCCATCATTTATATGAATTTAGTATCCACAACTAGTTTCTTCATTTTATTTAGGGAAATCGTCAACGTCCCTTAACATTTTTAAAATAACTTTTTCGTCCCTCAACTTTAAAAGTGGTATTTTTATATCCCTTACATATCATATCGGACAAATTTAGTTCCTAACTAGCGTTTCGATCATTTTTTGGTCCGAATCCATCATGTGCAATGCACATGATCATTTTTAAGTAAAATTTGTCAAAGTTATATTTTTACATAATCCACATCTATAGTCCTCCAAAATTTAGAAAATAAATTTTTTCGTCCTCATATTTTATAAAATGATTTTTTTCATCCCTCACATTACACAAAATGAATTTCTCCATCCCTCACATTTCAAAAAATGAATTTTTCATTTCTCACTACTTATGTGTGTGAATACATTTTTTTAAACACACACACACACACATATATATATATATATATATATATATATACATCTATCTATTTGATTTTGCTTAATAATAATAGTATAAACACATGTATGTAATTGGGCCCAACTTGTGGGCTATCTTCTCTTTTTGTATGATTATAACTAATATTTACCAATAGAACCTTAATTTGCATATTCTTATTGTATTTTGACCGAAAATAGCTTTATTTGTATACAGGGCACAGCAGCAGTGCAAAATGATGAATTAATCAGCACACCTCTGCTTCCAAAGATGTCCTAGAATCTCCCTTAATGGAACACAAGTCTTGAAACAAAGTAGCCCATTTGACTGCTTTTTTGCAGCCTATCCAATCAGATAGCCACCTGACGTGATTTGGACCATCTGGCAGCGTTTTCTTATTCCCATAGCATGGCTTTCCAAGCCTTTCTCGTATAAAAGAACCAACATCGAAGAATACCTACAGTGTCCCCAACCACCCGCAGAATCAGGATAGAATTAAAGACCATTAAGAATTATTAAGTGAGTATGACAAAACAGCATATTTGTTCTCAATAGCAAAAAGCGAAAATTAAAACAATTACCAACTGTAATGTCAATCAATTAAACATTGCTTTGGGGCAATCTAATTACTGTCCACTTCGTCGACAATAGAAGGCCTGTAAATCCGCACCTTTTCTATATTTACCACATGGCCATGCGTAAATTTCAGCGATTTGTACATCTCCTGAGGCCGAAGCAGTAAGTACCGTCTCTAAAAATTTGCAAATGGTCAAATTTCACATTCCCTCAATATGTACAGGGAGCGCGAGCGACGAGCGACATTTGTCAGGCAGAGGTTGTACCGTGCCACTTCAATGATCAAATGTAATAAATTCCTCATAAACCTATATAGAGCACACTTACGTTATATACTGTATAATAACAATATCAAACTGAATTTCTTAATCAAAATTAAACCTACTTCCGGTAACTTCATTTAGTTACCAATACTCATAAACATATACTCTATAAGTGTACAACGTAGGTTATTACGGTAACTGAGCGTAATCGCCACGCAATCCAATTCTGCATCTGAGAGGATTCAAGACTGCAAAACTGTAAATTCACCAAAAAAAACTAATATCCACCTCAAAATTGAGCTGTCTAGAGCTTTTGATGGAGAGTAAATTCCATTGATAAAGAAACCTAGGCTAATTAACTATCAATCGAAATTCCGATATTCTGGTTGTCCACATCCATAGCGGAGGAGTTTCTCTTTGCCAGTATCGTTTAATGTGAAATCTCGTCAGATCTTAAATTTGGCGTCGTCTTTATCGGAATTAGCCCGACAGCTTGAATGTAGGTGGCTTGAAAGATTCTGAAGATGTCCAAAATGCCCCTGGCTTGTGGCACACTGCCGGCGGCGAGGTTTTCTGGTTTAGTCGCTGAGTGAACGTAAATGAAGCCTGTTTGGTCTCGACATAAAAATCCTAGTCTCCTCTGCGTTGTCTACTGTTTAATGGATTATGACAAGTACTGGAGTCTAATGTGTAATTCAAATTGTTTATGGGTACGTGGACAACAGAATTAAAGCCTAGGGGTCATTGTTAAATTTATCATAGCTTACTAATTTCGTCCATCATTTATATGAATTTAGTATCCACAACTAGTTTCTTCATTTTATTTAGGGAAAATCGTCCAAAACGTCCCTTACATTTTGTAAAATAACTTTTTTCGTCCCTCACTTTTAAAATTGTAATTTTATATATCTTACATATTCACATCGGACAAATTTAGTCCCTTACTAGGTTTTCGATCATTTTTTGGCCGGAATCCATCATGTGCAAGGCACATGATCATTTTTTAAGGGTAAATTTGTCAAATTATATTTTACATAATCTCATCTATAGTCCTCCACATTTTATAAAATAAATTTTTTCGTCCCTCATATTTTATAAAATGATTTTTTTCATCCCTCACATTACACAAAATGAATTTCTCCACCCCTCACATTTCAAAAAATAAATTTTTCATTTCTCACTAATTATGTGTGTGAATACATTTTTTTAAACACACACACACACATATATATATATCTATTTGATTTTATTTAATAATAATAATATAAACACATGTATGTAATTGGGCCCAACTTGTGGGTTATCTTCTCTTTTTGTATGATTATAACTAATATTTACCAATAGAATCTTAATTTGCATATTCTTATTGTATTTTGACCGAAAATAGCTTTAGTTGTATACAGGGCACAACAGTTGTGCAAAATGATGAATTACTCAGCACACCTCTGCTTCGAAAGATGTCCTAGAATCTCCCTTAATGGAACACAAGTCTTGAAACAAAGTAGCCCATTTGACTGCTTTTCGCAGCCTACCAATCAGATAGCCACGCTGACGTGCATTTGGACCATCTAGCAGCGTTTTCTTTTCCATAGCATGGCTCCAAGCTCTTTCTGCTGTATAAAGAACCACATTAAGATACCTACAGTGTCCCCAACCACCACGCAGAATCAGGATAGATTAACGACCATTAAGAAATTATTAATGAGAGACAAAACAGCATATTTGTTCTTCAAATAGCAAAAGCGAAATTAAAACATTTACCAACTGTAATGTCAATCAAATTCAACCATTGGTCTTGGCAATCTATTACCTCACTTCAGTGACCATAGAAGCTATAATCGCCCTTTTACTATATTTACCACGGCCATGCGTGAATTTCAACGACTTGTACAATCTCCTGAGCCGAGCAGTACAGTACCTCCTAAAAAATTTGCAAAAACTGGTCAATTTCACATTCCCTCAAAAGTACAACTCTATCACACCACATTTTTCACAAATTTAACCCTGCCACCTCCAATGATCAATGTCATAAATTCCCTCATAAACCTATATAGAGCACACTTACGCTTATATACTGGTAAAAACAATATCAAACGGCATTTCTTACAAAAATTAAGCCTACTTCCCGGAATTTCATCGTACCAAATTACTCATAAACATATACCATATGTGTACAAGCGTAGGTTATACCGGTAACGAGCGTAATCGCCAAACCACAATCCATGCTGCATCTGAGCGGATTTCAAGAGCTGCAAAACTGTAAATTCACCAAAAAAAAAACTAAATTATCACCTCAAAATTAGCTGTCTAGAGCTTTATGGGAGAGTAAATTACCATTGATAGAGAACCTAGGGCAATTAATCTGATCAACGGATTCCGAATTCTGGTTGTCCACATCCATAGCGGAGGAGTTGTTCTCTTTGGCCATATCGTTAATGTGAAATCTCCGTCGGATCTTAAATTTGGCGTCGTCTTTATCGGAATTAGCCCGACAGCTTGAATGTAGGTGGCTTGAAAGATTCTGAAGATGTCCAAAATGCCCCTGGCTTGTGGCACACTGCCGGCGGCGGGGTTTTCTGGTTTAGTCGCTGAGTGAACGTAAATGAAGCCTGTTTGGTCTCGATATAAAAATCCTAGTCTCCTCTGCGTTGTCTACTGTTTAATGGATTATGACAAGTACTGGAGTCTAATGTGTAATTCAAATTGTTTATGGGTACGTGGACAACAGACTTAAAGCCTAGGGGTCATTGTTAAATTTATCATAGCTTACTAATTTCGTCCATCATTTATATGAATTTAGTATCCACAACTAGTTTCTTCATTTTATTTAGGGAAAATCGTCCAAAACGTCCCTTACATTTTGTAAAATAACTTTTTTCGTCCCTCACTTTTAAAAGTATAATTTTATATCCCTTACATATTCACATCGGACAAATTTAGTCCCTAACTAGGTTTTCGATCATTTTTTGGCCGGAATCCATCATGTGCAAGGCACATGATCATTTTTTAAGGGTAAATTTGTCAAATTATATTTTACATAATCTCATCTATAGTCCTCCACATTTTATAAAATAAATTTTTTCGTCCCTCATATTTTATAAAATGATTTTTTTCATCCCTCACATTACACAAAATGAATTTCTCCATCCCTCACATTTCAAAATATGAATTTTTCATTTCTCACTAATTATGTGTGTGAATACATTTTTTTAAACACACACACACACATATATATATATATCTATTTGATTTTATTTAATAATAATAGTATAAACACATGTATGTAATTGGGCCCAACTTGTGGGCTATCTTCTCTTTTTGTATGATTATAACTAATATTTACCAATAGAACCTTAATTTGCATATTCTTATTGTATTTTGACCGAAAATAGCTTTATTTGTATACAGGGCACAGCAGCTGTGCAAAATGATGAATTAATCAGCACACCTCTGCTTCCAAAGATGTCCTAGAATCTCCCTTAATGGAACACAAGTCTTGAAACAAAGTAGTCCATTTAACTGCTTTTCGCAGCCTACCAATCAGATAGCCACGCTGACGTGCATTTGGACCATCTGGCAGCGTTTTCTTTTCCATAGCATGGCTCCAAGCTCTTTCTGCTGTATAAAGAACCACATGAAGATACCTACAGTGTCCCCAACCACCACGCAGAATCAGGATAGATTAACGACCATTAAGAAATTATTAATGAGAGACAAAACAGCATATTTGTTCTTCAAATAGCAAAAGCGAAATTAAAACATTTACCAACTGTAATGTCAATCAAATTCAACCATTGGTCTTGGCAATCTATTACCTCACTTCAGTGACCATAGAAGCTGTAATCGCCCTTTTACTATATTTACCACGGCCATGCGTGAATTTCAACGACTTGTACAATCTCCTGAGCCGAGCAGTACAGTACCTCCTAAAACATTTGCAAAAGTTGGTCAATTTCACATTCCCTCAATAGTACAACTCTATCACACCACATTTTTCACAAATTTAACCCTGCCACCTCTAATGATCAATGTCATAAATTCCCTCATAAACCTATATAGAGCACACTTACGCTTATATACTGGTAAAAATAATATGAAACGGCATTTCTTACAAAAATTAAACCTACTTCCCGGAACTTCATCGTACCAAATTACTCATAAACATATACCATAAGTGTACAAGCGTAGGTTATACCGGTAACGAGCGTAATCGCCAAACCGCATTCCATGCTGCATCTGAGCCGATTTCAAGAGCTGCAAAACTGTAAATTCACCAAAAAAAAACACTAAATTATCACCTCAAAATTAGCTGTCTAGAGCTTTATGGGAGAGTAAATTACCATTGATAGAGAACCTAGGGCTATTAATCTGATCAACGGATTCCGAATTCTGGTTGTCCACATCCATAGCGGAGGAGTTGTTCTCTTTGGCCATATCGTTAATGTGAAATCTCCGTCAGATCTTAAATTTGGCGTCGTCATTATGGGAATTAGCCCGACAGCTTGAATGTAGGTGGCTTGAAAGATTCTGAAGATGTCCAAAATGCCCCTGGCTTGTGGCACACTGCCAGCGGCGGGGTTTTCTGGTTTAGTCGCTGAGTGAACGTAAATGAAGCCTGTTTGGTCTCGACATAAAAATCCTAGTCTCCTCTGCATTGTCAACTATGTAATGGATTATGACAAGTACTGGAGTCCAATGTGTAATTCAAATTGTTTATGGGTACGTGGACAACAGACTTAAAGCCTAGGGGTCGTTGTTAAATTTAACGTAGCTTACTAATTTCGTCCATCATTTATATGAATTTAGTATCCACAACTAGTTTCTTCATTTTATTTAGGGAAAATCGTCCAAAACGTCTCTTATATTTTGTAAAATAACTTTTTTCGTCCCTCACTTTTAAAAGTGTAATTTTATATCCCTTACATATTCTCATCGGACAAATTTAGTCCCTAACTAGGTTTTCGATCATTTTTTGGCCGGAATCCATCATGTGCAAGGCACATGATCATTTTTTAAGGGTAAATTTGTCAAATTATATTTTACATAATCTCATCTATAGTCCTCCACATTTTATAAAATAAATTTTTTCGTCCCTCATATTTTATAAAATGATTTTTTCATCCCTCACATTACACAAAATGAATTTCTCCATCCCTCACATTTCAAAAAATGAATTTTTCATTTCTCACTAATTATGTGTGTGAATACATTTTTGTAAACACACACACACACACATATATATATTTATTTGATTTTGCTTAATAATAATAGTATAAACACATGTATGTAATTGGGCCCAACTTGTGGGTTATCTTCTCTTTTTGTATGATTATAACTAATATTTACCAATAGAACCTTAATTTGCATATTCTTATTGTATTTTGACCGAAAATAGCTTTATTTGTATACAGGGTACAGCAGCAGTGCAAAATGATGAATTAATCAGCACACCTCTGCTTCCAAAGATGTCCTAGAATCTCCCTTAATGGAACACAAGTCTTGAAACAAAGTAGCCCATTTGACTGCTTTTCGCAGCCTACCAATCAGATAGCCACGCTGACGTGCATTTGGACCATCTGGCAGCGTTTTCTTTTCCATAGCATGGCTCCAAGCTCTTTCTGCTGTATAAAGAACCACATGAAGATACCTACAGTGTCTCCAACCACCACGCAGAATCAGGATAGATTAACGACCATTAAGAAATTATTAATGAGAGACAAAACAGCATATTTGTTCTTCAAATAGCAAAAGCGAAATTAAAACATTTACCAACTGTAATGTCAATCAAATTCAACCATTGGTCTTGGCAATCTATTACCTCACTTCAGTGACCATAGAAGCTGTAATCGCCCTTTTACTATATTTACCACGGCCATGCGTGAATTTCAACGACTTGTACAATCTCCTGAGCCGAGCAGTACAGTACCTCCTAAAACATTTGCAAAAACTGGACAATTTCACATTCCCTCAATAGTACAACTCTATCACACCACATTTTTCACAAATTTAACCCTGCCACCTCTAATGATCAATGTCATAAATTCCCTCATAAACCTATATAGAGCACACTTAC